GAACCGCAGCGTTTACCTGCTGAGGAAGCCTGTGCCACTGAAAAGCACGATATTTACTTGCCGGTGGAAAGCTGTTGAGTGCTCACACTTTTGCAGCAATTCTGCCTGTTCCAGTGGCCTGTTGTGAATTTAATAGTGTCTGTTTGCTAACAGTCTGAGTTAAACTGGAGACTCCAGGGAAGTGTGATTCAGACAAATTCAGAAACTCTCTGCGGACAAAGTCTGAAGCAGCTGTTGTCTAACACAAAGCTACAAGGATGTACTAGAACTCCAGCAATGTCCCTAGGCACAGCGGGCTCGCTGCAGGGACTGCCCAGCTGGGACGCCCCCCAGGCCAACAGTGTCGATGCCTAACCTGTGCTTCTGAAGGCCTAGCCCCTTCTCCACTTATCCAAGCCACCAGCCAGCCTCTGAGCCACCCTCAGCATTGGTCCCTTCTTGGCAAATGGGTTCCTTTTGTGAGCAGTAGAGTAGCTGGTGCCAAATCTAGATGTGTACAAAGGAACAAAACCAGAAGAGATATAAAACTGGCTTCAGCTCAACCTGGCTGTCTCTTGACCTCAACTAAGTAGCTGGCTTTTTTCTTATGCATCTTCCTTAGTTATTTTCTCTTGTTTTGCTTTGATTATAAAAATACACAAAAATCTCCCACAATAACATTCTTCCAGATAACAACTTTTAACCTTTAGCTGTATGTTTTATTTATTTTTTTCTTATTGACATGTTGATCAACCCTAGAGATTCTGATTTAATTGGACTGGGATGGGCCAAGTAGCATTATTAAAAGCTGTGGCAAAACACACGTAACATAAAAGTTTAACTTACTTTGAAAACTCTTACTGTGAGCTGGGTGTGGTGGTGCATGCCTGTAATTTTAGTATGCAGGAAGCTGAGGCAGGAGGATCACAAGAACAAGCAGAGCCTGGGCAAGTTCACAACTTAGCAAAATTTAAAAATTTTTAAAAGGCTAGGGATGTAGCTCAGTGCAAAGGGCCTGGGTTCAGTTCCCCCATACCTCAAAAAATAAATAAATATTCTTATTGAGCACCTACTGTATGTACTAAGACCAACACACTCACTGCCTCCTGATAAGGAAGCTGGTTGGTGAGCAATAGCCCTGGTATGCAAAGATCAGAAGGGGCATGCACAATTCCAGGTTTTGCTCTCACTGGCTCATCTGTCCACTTATTTACGGAGTGCACACTATATAAAGGCACTAGAAGCACAGGTACAAACAAGAGCTCAGCCAAGCCCTCACAGACGAGGTACCTGGATCCCATCTTTAATTCTTACCTTTGTTGTCCTGGTTAGGATATTTTGTTTTGTTTTGTGGTTTTTTTGAGACAGGCTCTCACTATGTAGTTGAGGCTGACCTGGAACTCACTATGTAGCCCAGGCTGGTCTCGAACTCACAGCGATCCTCCTCCTGCCTCAGCCTCCTGAGTAGTGGGATTATAGGCGAATGACCATGCCGGTCAGGCTGGTCTCGAACTCACAGCGATCCTCCTCCTGCCTCAGCCTCCTGAGTAGTGGGATTATAGGCGAATGCCACCATGCCGGCTTGGTTAGGATATTTTTGTTTGGCGACATACTACGTCCACCTCTGTTAGTTCAATTTACATGGCACATGAGGTAAACAAGCAGAACAGGGATTTCCTGGCCCTGCACAGTTAAAGCTCTTTGTCTAAAGAAAGTCACTGCATTCGAAGGCCCCAGGCTGCCCACCTTCTCCCATGCAGTTTCCAGGGCTGTGTGCCCTGTGTCATAGAATCGAGAACTCTTGTCATCTTTGCTCTGCCTCACAGCAGGGTCTCTGTGGGCCTCTGCTATCCTTGCTCTGAAACACAGGACCGAGACTTGCTCTAACCCAGCCCAGGACACAAGTCCCTGGACCCGCACAGTCCTCTGACTACCCTCAGAGATGGGAGCGTCTCTGGAACAACCTTGAAGACGTCACAGAACATCCCCTAGGATGTCAGCTTCTTCACGTGCAGCACCTGGGCACTGAGCATTTCCATCACTAGCAAACCTCTTGGCCAAAGTGAATATTAACAAAATGAAGGGCGGGAGAAAGGAGAGAGAAAGAAAGGAAAAACAACTGGCAGGTGGGCTGAGCTCCTGAGAGCTCATGTCCGTTGCTGCACAAGCCTTCTCTTTTCCAAGTGTCCCCACATCATCCTACCACCCCCGTCCCTTCCGTCTGATGACAGAAGAACTCTGCATGGGAGGCTGAGTTGGTATGATTGGGTCAAAGGCAGAAGTGGATCAGAAGCAACTCCAATAAATAACGCTCCGAAATCTAGTTTGGCCCTGCGGAGCAAACGCTGTGGAACTCTCCGTGAGCAGATCCCTCTCCCACATGTGGCTCGGAGTAGAAAGGGTGACTCTGGGTTGCCTGTCAGCGTGTGCTCTGATTGGCTGGCCCGACCCCGTGTCAGGCATCACAAGCTCTGCGAAGGGCACACGTAAAGGAGGCGAGCAGCGAGATGTATGGCTCTGCGTGACAGATTCCTCCCACAGAACAGAGAAGAGACACAATCTGCTCGGAGTGACTTTTCAAATTATCTGCAGAAAACATTAGTGGATGTTTCCCCATCTGCATGCCTCCAGGCCTTATTGAGTCATAAAAAGTAAACGATTTCCCTGAATGCTTTGACAAACCTGATAGTTCCAAGCCATTTTTGAGCTGATTGATTTGCCATTATGAATCAGAGTGCTTCTCGCATAAAGGCTCCCTGGCAAAAACAGGGCTGGAGAGAAAACCTCCAGCCCCTTACCGCAGAGGGAAGCCGGGGCCAGGAAAACCAGCAGAGACAAGGCTTATTTGGGGTGCAGCTGCTAAAAAGCACATTAGGAAGGTTTCCCAGAGGTGGTGGCGGCTTTGGAGATAGTCCTAAAGGGAGGTGCGGGTATGACTTTCAGGGAAGTAGTAGGAGGTGTGCAAAACAAAAAGGGAAAACAAGCAATGCGTTCTCCGCTTGCTCTGGGCCAAGGTCAGCAAAGCACAGAAAACATGACCAAAAGCTAAAAATAGGAGCTAACTGCTGAGGACGTCAGGCTGAAGCCTTTAAAGACGGACCTGCAGGATGCTGGAGTGTGGCCTGGAGCGGTGACCTTGAGGCCAGTTGTCACGGAGATCCGGAGCCGGCAAGATTCAGAGGGAAGGGCACTTTGATCCCTGCTCTGCACCTTCCCCGGCGGTTATTCAGTCCTGGAAGAGGCCTGTTCGCACCAGCTTCCTGAGGTGCCTCCGTCTCCGAGAACAGAGAGGCAAGTGGGCAGTTGAGATGCCACTGCCGCTGCAGGAAGATGAGACTGAAGGGTCTCTGGGTCCTATCTGTGCCTCGTTACTGCTCTGCCCAAGGGTGATGTAGAGAGCCTTGCCTCTGCTGGGGGGATTTTAGTCCCCCAGAGTAGGCTGCTTCCTGAGCACAGTCTGGAGCACCCCAAGATTTGCCATGGGGACAGGTGGGGAATGAAAGTGCCTCCCCTCTTCTCTGCAGGGTAGCGTGTTACTAACACTACACATGTATTACAGGCCGAGGGGTGAGGCCTTGAGCACAGCCAAGGAGCTGACAACCAAGGCCCCATGGTGAAATAACCCTACCCTCCCTGTGCAGCATCTAGTCCAACCACCAGAAAAATAAAACACAGCCTTCCTGTCACAAAAAAAGCCAAAAATGAGCTGGGGAATGGTCCAGTGCTAAGATTGACAGGCATGTTTATTCCCCTATATATATAGAGAGAGAGAGGTAAATAGATGATAGGTAGGAGAGAGAGAAAGAGAGAGAGAGAGAGAGAGAGAGAGAGAGAGGGAGAGAGAGAGAGGGAGGGAGAGAGAGAGGGAGGGAGGGAGGGAGGGAGAGAGAGAGGAGAGAGGGAGAGAGTATTAACAAATGCAAGATGTGCTGTACAAAATAAAGACACAGTTTAGGAGTCAGGAGCAAAGGAATGACTGCAGCAAATGAGGTCCTTCAGAAAGGCTTCCACAGAGGTGACATCTGTGACAGCTGTTAGAAAGTCACAGACATAGCCAGGTAGAACGGCAGGAAAACAGCATTTAAGACGGACATGTGAAAGTAACAGATGAAAGAAAGCTCAAGCAAAGGCCCTGTGGTTCCCAGTGCCACACAGGACCCTGCCTCGGCCCACTGTCTAGGGGTTAAATGACAATAGAGCAGCCAGCAGAAGGGGACCTTAAGTAGAATAGAAAGCCCCGTTGTAAAGGGAGGAAGGTATAGAACAGAGAGGTGCTGGGCAAAGGAGTACCGGTGAAAATAAGGTGCACTTGCGGCACCTGGGGCTCAGATTGTTCAGTGAAATTTGTTTTTCTAAGCTACATCTTGTCCTTTTTATTCCTGTGGTCAAGGACACCAGCAGCTCCATACATACAAATGTCACAATGTGCAGACTGCTCACTTCTGCCTTATGTGGTTGGTCCCTGCTCGCCACTTCCCCAGCCCATGCCGAGCTGTTTTAAAAATCCAAAGCAAATACCTACCTGATCTACAGTGGCCACGCCAGCCAGGAGGGAATCCTACCCACTGCATGTTCTGAGAGGCCTTGGCAACTCCCTAGCTACCTGCTGAAGTCCCTCTCACCCAATCGTTCCTCCCCTTGGCCCTCCACTGTAGCGCCCAGCATACGGCTCACCTCAGAGGCTCTCTCGCCAACATCAGGTGACAGGGTCCGGTGGGAAGCACTGAGGTTTTTCCCTGCGCTGCCCACAACACAGGTAACCTCTCCACAAATGTCTGCAGGATGGGACTGAGCCTGGCAAACTGCACTCTCAAAGCGTCCTGCCCTGGGGTGCTAGAGAACTGCAGGATGACTGCCTGCCTCTGCCCTGGGCCACCTTCTGCTCCGCCCTCTGCTCTCCAAGGGCAAGACTTCCTTGGAGCCTTGAGCTCTTGCCCCTTCTTAGTCTTTTTACTCTCCATCCCGTGATTAGGATCATGAATACTTGGTAGATGAACTTAGGAGCTTTCTTCCGTGTTTAGGCACAAAGTGAGCTGATGAATTCAGGCTTGTACCTGATGCTGCTGCTTCGCCTGTATGAACAGAGGTTTGCAGAACTCATGAGCCTTGACTATAGGCGGATAGTGAGAGAAAGGGTAAGTCTGGCCCTGACCTGGCGCCATCTGCTGCAGCCTGGAAAACCCTGTGGTGGTGTTTATTAAGTTCCTCACAGTCACTTGGTAGGATACGGAACTGTCGTTTTTAGGACTAAGATTCGGTGGCTGCTGAGTGCATATACAATGACCCTCTGGCTGGAAAGTAAGTGATAGGGAGTAGTAATTAAATGGTCATGTACTTGAGAGACTTCCTAGGAATATTTGCTTCCCAAAATGGAGGCCAACAGGGATGACGGTGCTGGATGTGCACTGGATTTGGCCGTGCCCAAGCGTGGAAGATCTGTAAAAAAGTGGTACCTTCCCAAAGGAGAGATGATTAGCCCTTCTTCCTGTTTTGCTTCAGATCCCAAGGCACATTATGTCACCGTGTGTGTGTGTGTGTGTGTGTGTGTGTGTGTGTGTGTGTGTGTGATCGAGGAAATAAAGGTACTGATGGTTGTGGCCCCATTTACAGTAATGAAAATGTATTTAGTAGGAACAGGAACAGCCATCTGTGGCTGTCTTTCCTTTAATAAGAGGACTGGGCCCTTGAGGAGCCTACGTGGTATGGAGGGAGAGTCTTGGCTCTCTTACTAGCTGGGCTTTGGCCTTTGCAAACTCAATGACGGTCTGACCTGTGACGTATCCTAGTACACTTGGCCATTGTCAAGCCAGCCCCTTGAGCCCCACAGGACTTCCCTCTCCATCAAATGGCTCACTATGACCAGGCCAGGCAAGAGATCTCTGAGGACAGGAGCATCCCTTTCCCTAAGGTCATGCCTGGGGCACCTATACTCTTAGAGTTCCCAAGACACTCCAGGAAGCTTGGGTCTTGACTTCTACTCCTGTCAGAAGGTCTTACCTACCAAAACTGGAGGAGTTTATTCACTTTGGCTTCCTGGCCGTCTCATTAAGAAACCCATGACAGGACCGGGGATTTAGCTCAGTGGTTCCGCCACCTGCCTCGCAAGCCCAAGGACCCGAGTTCAATCCCTGGTACCAAACCAAACAAGACAAAGCAGTGACAAATGGCTGTTATCTTATCGGTGGCAGTCACTGTGTCCTCACTTTGGCATGCACAGTCCTGCTGAGACCATGGGACGGGGAAAGTGATGCCATGAGACCCTTCTCTGTGAGGCACTTAGGGTCAAGTTAGGAGATGACACTCACGTATTTATAAATCTGGAAATTACCAGAAAGTAGCTCCTGGGGCTCCTGGGCAAGAGAATTCAGGTTCGGCGCATTCCTAGAGGCTGTGAAATTACAGCATTTTCCCTGCTAGGGGCTTCCTGTGATGTAGGCCTTCTCTGCCTGTCTTTCCTGATGCTGGGCACACAGAGAGTCATAGCTGACCACTGACTATGCCTCAGGCACTGTGGGTCCCAGGAACACTGGGTGATTTCAAATGTGCCAAATGACTGCTGAGTAAGGAAGTGGAGTGCAAGGGTTGGGGGCATTCATTAGCAACTTGGGCATGGAACGCTTATCCCTTTCGTATCCCACAGTTCTCCAGTGCCTAAAAATTGCCTAGTATACAATAGATGCTCAGTCCAGCCACAGGGGCGCACACTTGTAATCTCAGCAGTTGGGAGGTTGAAGCAGGAGGCTTTCCGGGAGTTTGAGGCCAGCCTGGGCTACACAGTGAGTTCAAGACCAGCCTGAACTACACAGTGAGATCCTGTCTCAAAAAACCAACCAAACAAACAAAAGGATGCAGGAAGCAAGTCTTGACTTACATTTTGGCGACAGTAAAAGTACAACTTAATAGAAAGAACAGTATTCTAGGTAATGAACACTTTTAAATTCAAGGCATACTCATTTATTCTGCACCCTTACTATATGCCCAATTCTAAATTAGATCCTGGAAATGCAGAGACAAGTAAGACACAACTTATCAGGACTCAGAGACAGAAAAGAGGATACACTTGTAACCAAGCGTACCCCAAACTGTGCTTGTGTCTTGATAGAAGACCAGGGCAGATGAGGAGGAACACCCAGCAATTAGATGAAATGAGGAACCCCCAGTCTTGCCTCCTCCTACCCTTTCTCCAGGATGGACACCACAGCTGGGCTCTTCAGGGACTGCAGCTAGTGCCGGGGAGGCCTTGCTTTTAATCCATCAGGTCTCATCCCACGTTGCCAGTCTTCGTGGACAGCCTGGTAGCAAAACTCCTCTCAGCTGACCCAAGGTAGACATGGTTAGACTGAATCTCGGAGACAGTCAGACAGGGGTGAGGAGGGAGGAAACGGTGTTCCGTGCAGAGGGAAATGCAGTGATGTCGAGACATGGAAAGACGCCTATGTTGGCAGAGAAGGAGTTTCGTGGCTTGGGCTGGCAGAGAGTGAGCTGGAGGTACAGGCGGGCACCCCGACAGGAAGGACTCAGGTATGACCCCGGAGGCTAAAGAGATTTGGCGGAGGGCTAGCTGGGGAGCTGCTGAAATGGCACAGAGCAATTAGGGGACTCATGAGGGTCGCACAGAATGAGTGTGGAGAAAGTGGGGGGGCCGAAGGAAGTACTGCTGCTGTTCTCTGCCCGTTCCCAGCAGAAAGCAGGCTTTCCAGATGCCACGATGGGCGCATCTCCAAAGAACACAGGACTTACACAGCCGCACCTGCCCCCTCATGACTCTCTGTCAGTCTGAGGGGGACACAGGCTGCCCTTGGAGGTGAGGCTAACTGGATTTGCCTTCCTGCCACTTTTATTTCACACCTACAGGGGGCAGCCCACTATTTGGGCTCTGCTCCCCCAGACCCACATCCTGGGTTTCCTCCTGGCCTGGATCTTGTCTCGTCTCATTGGTCTTCTGTAGGAGCTGTGCCGCTGATGATGAAAACACAGGCCAGGTGGCCCCTGAGGGGACTGCAGGGGTGAGGGCAGGCTGAATCTAGGAGTAGCTTTCAAATCCCATGGGTCCACGCACTCCTTTGGCCGGATGGACCATGTCCAGGGCCCCTCTCAATAATACTCAATTTCTACAAAACCAAGACCAAATCTACCCAAAATATGAAAAGTCCAGGTTCGATCTCCAGTTAGAAAAAACTTCCTACTCACCAAGGTGGAGCTTCTTGGTGCAGTGAGGGTTGGTTACCTAGACATGATCGCCTAGCACAGAATCTAGTGCAGGGCGAAGTTGCCTCGGAAGCCCAGTGAAAACAGAGGTGGGGGTTACATCATCCTGAGGTATAATTTACTGTGTAACCAGGACCTGCTACCCGAGACGAAATTCCATCCTTCCCCTGCCTCCCTCCCTCTACGGGCAGAAAAAGGGACTAAGGTACCAGAGCTGCCTCTGCACTGGCCAGGCAGCTGCCCAGTTACAGTGTCCAGCACCCCAGCCTGTGACAAAGCCCCGCTTCTTCTTGGGGAAGAGCACCAGCCCCTCTGCAGAGGAGCCCACAGCCTTGCAGCCCGGCACAATGGGCTCCCACGGAGTACACACTGTTTCCTATTGGAACATAAAATGCCTTAAAGTCAGAACAAAGAGAGCGCCCAGGGCCTTGATGGGTCTTCTGCTTCCTGCTGAGCAGAGAATACAACCGATTGTCTAAAAGCCAGTGGAGAGGCAAGTGGCCCATTAGCACAGCCCTCACCCCACGGCCTGCCAACAGTGATTCGAACCGTCAGAAAAGGGTTCTGCTACTCAGATCAGTTGCTGAAAGGGAGGCGAGTCTGTTCACAGTGCCAAATTTAGAAGCCCCAAAACAGCAAAGGTGACCCAGGTCATCCCTGCAGCGGCACTGGAGCTGGCTAAGCCCTGTCCATGCCGGGTGTCCACACAGCCCTCCGAAACTCCACCGTTCCTGCCCCTTTAAGGTGATGTCAGGGATTCCTAGAACATTCCCAAGACTATGGAATTGTACATCTGTTCACAATTTCATCGGAAAAACAATTCATTTCTCATTGTCTTCTTTCTCATAGTTGTCAAGAAATCACCCGCAAGCCAGACCAGAAGAAAATGAAAGTAGGTTTGGGGGTCAGTCCTGTCTTTTGAGTGTTTGCTAAATCACTCTTTTTCTGTTACTGTGTTTAAACCTGATGCTGTGGGAGGAAGTCATGACCACCACCCAGAGGCAAAAATAACCCCACAAAGCTTGGGAAACTGTAGCTGCGCAAACAGTCCGAGTAGGCTGGACACAGAGCAGATAAGAATTTTAATTCATCCAGAAAGTAAGGAAAAGGATCAACAAAGGGAAAGAGGGTATATCAGCAAGTGTAAGGCTTTTTGTTTTGTTTTCTATTCCTTCCCTTTTTTTTCTTTTTCTCCAGAACCCAGAACTTGGTGAGCATTTTTATTTATTTTCTTTTTTTCTTTAGTGCGGTGGGGGTTAAGGGTGGGCTCCTGCTAGGATCCTGTCTGGAATTTTCCTTTCCAAACCCTGAAAGGAACCACATTCATTGACAAGCAAGTGACTCGATTCGACTCCCTCCTCATTGGGCCCGATCAAGTGGGTCTGTTGGATTCGGAGGTTGAACAAAGCAAACAGGTCTCTGGAGTAAGGTTCCGCAAAGGAGGGAGCACAGCTGTCTTCAAACAGTATGGAAAAGTCTCCTCTCTGTTCCTAATTCCACAGAAATCCCAACTGGAGGGGAAAATGTATTTAATTAAAGCAGGAGCGCTCCAAGTCAAACTCAGGAGGAACTTCTCCATCAGCAGGAGAAATAAACACTGCAGTGAATTAAGGGGGTATGACAATTAGGTCCCTAGAGGTTCTTGAGGAGAAATTTTACAAGCGGTTCGTTCCCAAGCTGGCCTGGCCATCGGGATCACCAAAAAACTTACCCAAAACACAGATTCCTGGGCCCTCCCGGCGATTCGGCCTCGGGCGAGGGGTGGAGCCCTGGACCCTCTCTTCTACCCTCGGCCGGTGACCTTACAGCCGCGGGTGTCGGGGACGCTTCGGGGAACCCCCAAGAGGCCCGCCTGGAGACAAGTTCCAGTTTTCAGCTCCCCGGGGCGGGGCCCAGGCTGCGACCCTAGAGAAGCCAATTTTTTTATTATTCAGGGCACGCAGTCCTGGGAAACGGGGCTGCCGTTTGCAGACAGGGGAGGGGAGCTCTGCTTCGTGCACAAAAGGACCCCACGGGGCGCGATGGTGGGGTCCGGCCGAGCCCA